GGGGAGACGGCAGGAGAACCCTGCTGCAGCCGTCGCTTCGCTGGACGGCCTGCGATGGTGCCGTCTGTCCCTCTGGCAGTACCCGTGAGAAACCCTCGCTGCAAACACCCCTCGCAGTCAACCTGTTTCACACCAGCACGATGCTACAGCTATAGGAGTGGCTCCGTGGGCCTTGTAACACGGTTCTGTAGAGTTCAATGCTTCACTTGGAGACCGTTGCAAAAGTCTGACTTCCAAAAAAACCCACAAAACTATTTGGACACAGAACTGATTTTGGTAATAAGGAATTACTTAAAAGAAATTGAAGAATGTGTTTTCTATATTCATCTTTCAACTTTGAAGGAAAATTATTTTTGCAGCCTCTCAAAAAAAAAAAAACAACTTGTGTAAATAGCAATAAAATATTTAACCACACCAAATTACAATGTCCATGAAGTTTTAAAATGCAAGACCGTGGTATGTTGATGGTGATAGTGAGGGAACTTTCTCGTTTAGGATCGTACTGTTGGTGGTATTAGTAGTACTGTGCTTTTAAATGTTTTAAATCTTTATATAGTATTTTAAAATGTGTTGGAAGATTAAATTGTTGAGCTACTGCTTATTAAACAATTCTTACATTTAAAAGGTTAATTTTTTTTTTTTCAGAGAAGAAATGAATTTCAACACTCCTCTAATCCATAAATGATAGCCAGGGCCTTACAGTTATGAGCCAGTGAGCTGTTTGCAGTTTGAGGAGAAACTTGTAAAAACTTTACAGTTTTAAGGTCAACCTTCCTTGTGTTTGCATCATGAATTAATTACTGTCAGGACATGGTCTGTATACATTTAAATTTCAGGTGGGCTTCCCTCTTGGCTTTTATGTAAGATTCTCTTTCTGAATTTCCTCTGTTTCAGTTGTAGCTAACAGTCTGCCTAAAGTATAAAACCAAAATACCCAGTTGTGTAATTCTTGGATATCTTCAGTACTGAACTAAATAAACAGCTCTGATGAAACAGGAAACTAGAAAAGACCTTCAAAATTGCCAGCCATCTTGTAAGGAAAGCTGGTAGAAAACCTTGGTAGTGCTATTTTGGTTTTAATCTAGCATGTTTGTCCTTGCCCAGAACTGTAAGGGTGAACTTCATTAAAAACCTCTGAGAGGCCAGTTCCTCTAGATTCTCCTGCAAAGAGTGGCTAGTTGAGCAAGGGTCGCATGTAGGATGAATCAGACACTGAGTTGTTACTGATGGAAAGGTGCCTGTTGACCTTCTGTCTCTCTGGTTGTCCACTAGTCTTTAGGAACATTTGGCAATATTTGTTCTTGAGTTTAGATCTTATTAAATGTTATTGTAAAATGTAACTGTTTCATGATTTGTTCCTTTTAGAGGAATAACTGAACTATTGCTGTGATGTTTGTGCTTGCAGTACTGCAGTGATCGAACATAACATTTAAACAACGGAAAAACAATTGGACATGTTATCTAGAGTTTGTACCTTTTCTTAAAACAAACAACACCCCCCAAGCCATCCTGAATGCCCTCCTAAAAACATTAAAATGTTTTTAAGCTTGAGAAGTATTTGTGCTTAAATTGTACCATTTGAATCCAGTAATTTTGAAAATGGTGTGGTTCTGTTGTAAATATATAGTAAAAGGGGCGTGCAGTGCTTTGTTGAAAGTGTGTTTACAATACTTGATGAGTTCAAGTTACTTTAGTTTTTGTTATGCAGATCATGTATTTTGTCTGAAAGCTGCTAAGAGAATTACATTTTTGGTAATGTTAGCCTGTACTGAGAGAATAAATGTTAAAAGATGTGATGCTATGAAGTTTACAGTTTCATTGTAGCAACTTACATGACTTACACAAGTATTGGTATAAACATTGGCTTTTTTTTTTTAAAGTGTTTAGAATTGAGGGAAATCTTAAACATATACATTTGATTATTCCCCCCCTTCCAACTTATTCCCCCCCCTTTCAACCATTCACAATAGTCTCAGTACACCAAATAGTCAAAGTCAATAGTTAAAAAAAAAAGCCTGAAACAATAAAGCAAGAAGCAAAGCACGGTGCCACCATCTGATAGAGGTCAGATGACCTGAGTTGTTGGGAAAATGCTTATGCTCATAGTGAAGTCGCAAAACTTCTCTCTAGTTATGGCTGCTTTTAAATCAGAAATATTTAGAGAACCATAGTTGGAAGTTCATTTAATGCTCCAGCTACATCCGAAAGCTCAAAGCTGCTCTAATGGTTGTGCTGGCACACACAAGTGAGAGAGACAAACTTGTATACAGTGTGGAACAAGCATAGTGAAGTACTTTTTAAAACAAGATCAATCCTTAGGCTCCCTGTATTTATACTCAAGTCACAATTCAAGCATGGAAAGTTACTGAGTCTTTAGTTTTAAATTATGTAGAAGCATTATACAGTAGTGGTAGTTACTGTATAATTAAGCCAGATGAGTTCTCTGCAATCAGGAATGGTATTTTCTGTTTCCTAGGACCTGGTTTAAAAAACAAAATCAAACCCCAACAACAGCAAAACCAGAAAACCATTTGTAATGTCAATGTATCCTTCTTGAGGAGAACTTCCCCCTGCCCTGCCCAGATATGTGGATTTCATGTTTGATTTTTAAAAAAATAATAAACCTTCCAAGATTGGCTTTCAGATGCTGCATTTTGATCTCCATGTGTAGTTACTGTTTGTCACAGCTATGGACAAAATCCCATTCAGAGTTCACCTGTTTGTCTTGCCCCCTAAAACTTTGTTGAAAAAAACCTTCCACAAATGTTATTTGTAACAAATAGTAGTAATTCACTGTGATTTCATCAAGAAACTTGCAATGAGATTGTTTAGTGTGTTTTACTACATTGGTTTTGTTAATAGGTCAGTTGTGTAAATTCTTTATCTTTACCAGGCACAAATGAATTTGGTTCTACATTTCCAAAGCAATGTTTCCAGAACTCTATATGATCTTTCTGCTAAAAAAGGCCTCTTTAAATACATCACAGATCTGTAGATTAATTTGAAACTGTTTAAAAGTTTCTCAAGTGTCATTTAACATTTCTTTTCAAAGTGTAGAAAAATACTTAAATGTAGTCTTGCAGGATAAAGATGATATACTTCATACATTCTAGAATGTAAATCTTCTTTGTAAAAATTACTTCAATTTTTTTTTCCTGTATAGAAATAAATCTCAGTTGTGAAATCCAAAGATGAATAAAGCTGTATAAAGGGAAGGTTCTTAAATTGCATTTATTAAAACTTAAGCATGTTTCAAGACTTTTGACACAAGGCTTCAAAGCAGGCAGATGCTTTGCTCAGCCTTCATGAGGGTTTGCACCCCCAAAGCTGTACTAATGCCAGATGAGCAACATTCTAGATTTCTGACTGTAGATGTAAGTAACTGAAGAAAGGGTAAAAACTGCAGATAAACATTCAGCTGCTGTGAATGACTGACTGTTGACTGTAAGCTTGGGGGTCAGTTGCATTTTGGAGGTTCAGGGTTTGTGTGTGATGATGAGCTAGGAAACATACTGGAACATACTGTGACTCAGATTTAAGCCTCCAGCAGGAGAGCAAAAGTAAGAACCAACACTTATATTTTCAAATACAGAGAATTAAGATATTTTAATAAAAGAGATTTAGAAACAAATTGTTACGCTATTTGCACAAGGTCCTCTTCAATGACCGAAGGGATCTCAGAAGGCACTGAAAGCAACTCATCCTCCTTTTTGCTTACTTAGAGTTCCCTT